CCCCCCAGGCCTCGGTGGTGGCTGCTTTTTCTCTTGTTGAGGCGGTGGGGCGGGGTTAATCCCACGCTTCCACACAGGAGGAATCCCACTGACACACACTGGGATCACTCAGACACCCCAAAATGCACCACTGGCCCGAGAGGGGATCCCAGGGCGCAGGGCCTGGCATGTGCCGGCATGCAGGACGCTGCCTGTTCTCACGGGGCTCAGCTGGCCCCGCGGCCTGAGCGCACACACGGGCCCGGGCCGGGGATGCAGACCCACAGGGGCGGGCGGGAGCGGTCCCCAGGAGGAGATGGAGGGGCACACAGTACAGGCCTCAACCACAGGCAGGCCGAGGGGGCAGGTGGCGGCAGGCAGGAGTCAGGAGGGCGCCCGCGTGGGGCAGGAGGGACGCGGCTGGCTGCGGAGCCCAAGGCAAAGGCCTCCTGTCCCGGCAAGAGGCGGCCGCCAGAACCCACGCCCTGCAGGGCACCTATGCCGCTGACGCCCAGGGGGCCGGCCGCCCCAGCAGTGACCCTGTGCCCCTCACCCTGCCCTGAGGCAGCCCCCCATGGGCGCCCCCTCTCCCAACAGCCTGCGAGGCTCATCATAAGGGGCGTCGGTGAGCTGCGGGCTGCTCCAGACACAGGCCCACCGCTCACACACCAGGGGTGGATGGCTGGAGAAGGCCCATGGGACGGCCACCAGGAAGGCAGGGCCCAGCCGCTCCTGATGGACACTGGGGCCGCCCGAGGGCCCCCGGCCCCCGTCCAGGCCCCCTCTCTGCTCTCGAGGAGGCCTTGGGGAACCCGCATCTGCCCTCAGGAGCGGCTGGGCTGAACACCCGGCAAGAGGGGACGCGGCCCCACGCGGGAGCCCAGCAGCTCGCCCAGAGCCCCTCCCCTCCCCCGCAGAGGCCCCTCCCCTCCCCGCCAGGCCCCTCCCCTCCCCCGCAGAGGCCCCAGCCCACAGAGGCCCTCCCCCGCCCACCCCGGTTGCAGAGCCCCAGGCCCGCAGGCCAGCAGGCCCAGGCTGCCTCCCCACAGAGACTGCTGGCTGGCGCCTGGGGCCATGCGGCTGGAAGAGGCCCCAGAAGCCGGGTCAGGGCCAGGTGGGAGCGGAGGAGGGAGGCGGGCACACCCCTCAGCACCTGAGGGGCCGCCTGGGCCCTCCGGGGCTCGTCTGCTCTCAGGCAGCGGAAGCAGGATGACCAGAAGCCGTCCCCACAGACTCTGACCGACATAAACCATCAGACAGGACAGACTGATTTCTGCAGGGCCCCACAGTCACAAAACCTGACTTTTCTCAAGACACCATTGAAGCCACATAAAAATCTCAGAATGAGCGAGTCTAGTCTCTTCTCAGTATTGATATCCATTAAAAACATTTTTTAAAACCCATATTATATAGGCTAGCAGGCATGCGCCAAGGAACTCGCAGGCATTTCATCAAAACACCCCACCAGCGAGCACCAGTGACAGTGCAACCCGGGTGGAAAGAAGACCCAGAGGACAAAAGGACCAAGTCCCCAGCAGAGGCTCGTCGGATGAGATTTCGGAGACACTACCGCTGGCAAGGGATCTGGGAGCAAGCTGGGCGACTTCAACACACACCAATGTTCCAAGTCATCAAAGCCACACACGGACAAATACAAGTGAAAATAAAAAACGTTCAGATGCGCAACATGTACGCCATTCAACCAAAGGCTACCCCCAAACACAACACAGTTCTAAGTCAAATGAACATGTGACAACTGAAAAGGGAAATCACTTTATCAGGGCAAGCAAACAGCAAACGACGGTGGAACAAGACGCCTGTGAAATCTGGGGACAACTGCAGGAAAACCGGGACGCCTGACGCTCCCCCTCCAGCAGAGGCTCCGCGTCATCTAAGAACCACGAATGGCACAGGAGGATCCGCTCTGCTCCCTGGGGGAGGTAACTAATGACTACCAGCTTTCAACGCACACGCTTCCGCACCCGATTATTCCACACTGTCCAGGCAGCGAGTTCAGCAGGACCATGCCTGCGGGAACACCACCCCATGCAGACACCCGGACAGCCAGAACAAGTGTACGTGCACGCTTCACCCGGCGGCACAAGCCCTGGGGCGGGGGCCGCCAAGGGCACCCACGGCCACCAGCAGACCATGGCTCGACGGCTGCCCCGGCCACACCTGCGGGGCCACAGCCGTTCCAGAAGCAACAGGAACCCGGACCCCGCGTGGCAGGATGCCAGCAGCCAGGCCCCAGACTCCACAGGAGCCTTCCCTGCCGCTCCTCAGACTCGAGCCCAGGTCAGCCACACTCGGCCGCTCCCAGCCCCCAAAGGCAGGCAGGCAGGCAGAGGCGGGTTTTGGAGGGACCACCTCTCCCCCCGCCCAGCTCTGGGCTCCCTGTCGCCTCCACACGTGGCAGGGCCTCGGGCTGCCGGCTCCGGGGAGGGGAAGGCTCCTCAGCGTGGGCAGACGGCAGCGGGAAAGGCAGCTGAGTATCGCGGGGCCCAGTGCCAGCAAGACTGCTGGCTGCAGGCGTTTCCTGGGGTGGGACAGGTCTGGGGTTCGGGGCCACCCTGTCCTCAGGGAGGAGCCTCTGTCGGCCTCCCGGGCAGCGTCTGCCGTCGGGAGCCACGGCAGACCAGGGACACGGGGTCCCGGGGCTAGATGCAGGGACTCTACAGCTCTCACGGCAAGCCTCCACAACGTGCCCTACATGGACCATCGGGAGGAAGAGAGGGGAGCAGCGTGAGCACCAGGATCGTCTGTATCACAAAGAAACCCGGACTGGGCTTCAGAACGCAAACCCGAAACCTTTGAAGCCCGGAAAAGACAGGGAGGAGGCACCAGCCATCACTGAACTACCCGGCCAGCGGAGGGGCCCAGACGAGAAAGGAGAAACAGGGTGAGCGTGAGAACTACGGCACCGCTGTCCGTTGAGACTGGACTCCAAGGACTAAACGAAGGCCTCCATCCTGACTGTAGAGGACACCCTGAACGTGGACAGAGCACACGGGTGACCAGACAGCCTGGAGCACGGCCACCAGCAGTCTTGGGGGGAGAGGGGCTCAGTCTCCTCCTGCAAAGACCCCCGGGCTCCAGGAAGACTTTTACCTGGTCAGTACACGGACTAACAGCGCAGACCCGTGAGGACAGTGAGACGCCGCTGCTCGCAGGGCCGGGCCCGGGGACGCTGGCGGTGCCACGCCCAGCAGCCTGCCCGTGCATAGCCACCGCCGGGCACAGGGACGCGAGGCTGCAGGCGCCAACCTGACCACATCCCAGGGCTCCGGGAAGAAGGCCCGACCGCGCCGAGCTCTCCGCCTGCGTCACTGATAGGCCCATCCACAGTCGTGCCAACACCGGCAACTCCCCGAGCGGGGACGGTGGCGCCCCCAGAACACCATCGCTGGAAGACGGCCCTCTTCTCCCGCGCTCGGCCAGCCCAGGACGTGCCGAGGGCGGACGCCATGCCCAGCGATGCGCTCTCAGGCACACAGGCCACTGAGGGATGCACCAGACTCCTCCTCACTGACCTGGTGTCCCAGGGCGGCCTTGAACCTGTTCTCCCAGCAATTCATCCCACCCGTCAGACACCAATTTCAAGTCCTGGGACCCTCTCCCCGAGTGACTGAGGCCAGCCAGGCTGAGAGCACAGACGCAGCACGCCCCCCAGGGCCAGGCCATCGCCCCCCCGGGTCAGGCCGTCGGCAGCGTGGCCTTCCAGCGTGACTGCCCACACCCGGCTCCTAGCCGGCCCCGTGTGCTAAGACAGAGCCGCACGGCCGCCCTTCCCATGTCTTGCTAAGTCCAGCTGTCTTCCCATACTTACATTCAAGTATGCAATGCTTCTTTAAATAGCTTCTTCTAGCAGTTTCACACTGTTTAGATTCAAAACAAACTTGAGTAGGGCAGTAAAAAGACCATCTAGCTCTCGTGTAATATCCCTCTGGCTGGAATTCCAGTTATCAGTGGCCATCATGACAGATCACACTGATAGAAAAACAAAAGAAAACACCTGTGTGTCTGCCCATGCCAGCATCATTACATGACTGTCCCAGGCACGTTATCTTTAAATAAGGTGGCATTAAACACAGCCTGGAGAACTAGAACATACTCCGAATGATGGAAAGGTGGACAGCTGTTTCTTCCCTCCCTGAAGACATGTTCAATAAATTGCTAATCATTATTCCACATCAACAGGGAATTTTCATACACTCTCCAAATCCAACAAAGAACACATGTCAATGAGGTCCAGCGTCAGCCTCAGCGTCCAGACGCAGCAGAACGAAGGGCTCCAGGAGCCCAGGCACGGAGTCACACACAGGAGGACAGGCCCCACTCAGGAAAGAATGCACCGAACACATTTGCATTTATTTTCTTTTTTTTTTTTTAAAAGCAAATGACAAAGACCCAGTTTACCAGCTTAACTTTTTTAAACCTAAGCTTAACATTACATATTTAAACAATTGTCAAAACTTACTAAGTTGCCAGCATTCATGCACAACTGGAAAACATCCTCAATGCACATTAAACCAGAAATGTATTACCATTAATGTATTAATATCATCACTACTAAATACTGAAAAAACTGAGATTATTCTGTGGAAGAGTCATCCTGGCAATGTTAACTTCACAGCAGGCTGAGACTACTCGGCTCACGTTTCAAACACAATGGAAAAGCAGTCCGTGCTGGTGTTAGTGTACGAAAGAGTCACGGCCACCTTGGATTACGTTTAATAAAAAGCAAAGTGCATACAGAGATTTACAACAATTTTAAAGACAAATAAAATGGTCCTATTACGTGGTCCCAACAGTAAACTCAACAGTCTATGACAAACAGGGCTCCGACGAGCTGTGTATAAATACTTTAGATTAGGTACAGTTATACTGAAAGTCGAGTTCGTTTGAAATCTTCAAAAAAATGTTCCTGTTAATCCTCGCATGGCGCGTGCCAGAGTTAGGGTTCTGCTACGCGCGTGCGGTCAGCTACTTGTTATCCAAGCGCAGCAGCTGCTCCTTACCATTTATCGTCAAGGACTTTAACTGGCCGTCTTCTTCAACTTCCACCCTCTCTTGACCATTCTCGACAATCCTGCGGGAGGGGAGGCAAGGGGGTAAAACGCATCTTAAAATCACAGTACCGAATAAGCAGCCATGTATGTGAACCTGAGCGCCTATCTTTAGGATTTGCCACGGGCACACCCGCAGTCACTAACCCTGGGGCTAAAGCCAACGTCCCGAGCACGGACGCTTCTTAAAGTGGATGGCTCTGACATGAACCAACGGGCACCAGCCGTCAAGACGGTCAAGGTGCCACAACGGATGCGTTTCCATCCCAACGCATCACTGCACACTACACGGGATGGTGTCCAACGTGTCACGTGAAGCCAACACTTCAAAGGCAAAGCTCTGATCGGAGACTGGGCGGCCGTCCCAGACACCCTGCCCTTCCTGGGGGTGACACTGGTGACGCCCCCCCCATGCCTACACCTGAGAATAGACGCCAGGCCCACACCTCTTGGTGGTGATCTTCCTGCCGTTCACCACCTTCGTCGACGTCGATATGGACTTGTAGTTGCCCATCCCGCTCCCGCCGAAGGCCGAGGAGGAGGAAAACGCCGTGAGGCCCCCGTGGCCTAGCGAGCCGAAGGAACTGAATCCTGTAAGAAGACAGCAGAGGGGTCAGGGACGCACGCAGCACGCGCGGCCAGCCCGGGAATGCAGACGCGCCCCTGTGGAGCCAGGCCCTGCACAGACTGCGGGGCGGCCCAGGCACCTCCCCTACTGACAGGCCGGCACCCTGCCCCCCACGCGTCTCCCAGGATGGAGCAAACCCCGCCACAGACTGGCACACCCAACAAGCTTCTGCTGGCTCCTTGTAACTGTGACCACAGGGAATACAAACCTGAATTACCAAGAATCTGAAATAATTTTAGCAAGAATACCACAACAATTATCAGGAGGAGTATGGGTCTGGAGTTCATGGACTAATTCTCAGCTATGAGGTGCTCAACTAGCACACGAAACCCTGACTTTCAGAAGTCACAACAGCACGTCCACTCTGGGCTGGGGCTGAGGCTGCTCTGCCTATTGGAGAGCCCACTGCCTGTCCCACCCTGAATGCCCCCTTACAGCAGAAACACGCCCTCCCCACGGCCCTCCCCATGGCTCCTTAAAGGGGAGGACTGCGTGCCACACACACTGCTTAAGTGAAGTGCTATCTGACAGGTTTGCCCAGCTTTCTCTTTGCCTCTCCCTTAAGTTCCGGCATGCTACACGGTATCTGAGGAGGGGACCTGCCGGGGGAAAGCACACTGCAGCTGCCCTGGGTGACGCAGCCCCCTGGCTTCAGGGGGCAGAGTCTGGGAGCTGCATCCCCGTGCTGCCCACAGATCATGTGACACCCACACAAGGGCGGCCCAGAACAGACAGAAGAACTGGGCGGGCATCAGGGCAGAGCGGAGATGCTAACTCTTCACGTGGCCGCGTGCCCGACTCCAGCTGACGCATGGCGTCCAGTCGCCAGTCACCAAACCTCACCAGTAGACTCCACCTGGCTCGCGGTACACGCAGGCCCTACCACAGCCTCAGCTCCTGATCCCATCAACTTGGACTCCCCTAGGACACTTCTTTTGGTTTTTTTTTTAACTGCCAAGGAGGTTAGATTAAAAAGGATTTAAAGAGATTATCTGAGTTATTTCAGTTATTTATCCCAAAACCTCAAGACTTTTAACCAAGAATTTCATTAAATACTGGCCTTTAGTAGTTAAGATTAGAAGCAGGCTCTCAAGTATAACATTCTTGGGAAAATTAGGGGGGAAAACGCGGGTTACTAAGCAAAGATTTGTATACACACAAACAATGGTGAATCTAAGCTGTTCCACAAGAGGCATGTGCACAGTGCAAAGTGCCCTACATTAAAGCAGCCTGGGCCGGCGTCTGCTCGGACACCAGGGAAAGTCTGAGGGTGCAGTACCTGTATCAAAGGAAGGAAATGCCCCTCCAAAGGAGGGGAATCCGCCGAAAGCAGAGAAGAACGGGCCCGTGCCTCGGCTCCGGCTTCCACGGGGGCCCCTTCGACTCCCAAAGAAGTCCTCAAACGGGTCTTCTAAAAAGAAACAGAAGTGCTTAGTGAAACCTGGACCCCAGGGTGCTTCTTCACAGGAGAGCTGCAAAGGGCATGTGGGCGATGCCTCCTGACACTGTTCCAGCAGGAGCCAAGCTTCTCCACAGCGCAGCTCACCTTCAGAGCACCAGTCCGTCTAACCTGCGGCTTTCTGCGGCTTCTGAGACTCATCTAGAAACAGAACACAACGTGCCCCAACATAAAGCTCCAGGCCGTCAATGCGCACCGCAGACCTGGGCAGAGGGCTGTGAACAGGCCTCTCCACACAGAGCTCTTTTTGGTTGTTGGTACCAATCGATGAGCGCTTACTGAAACATGAATCATACAGACTTTAAAAACTCACTGAGGTTCACTATTAAATTCACTATGGAATCAGTCAGTGCTGCATTTTTTCTAGGAAATGGGAATTCTCTGAGAAATAAAAGCAAGGACTCCTGACGAATGATGAGAGAAAAGCACCCACAACGCAGAGACAAGATAAGCAGCGTGGCATGCTTCTAAACCAAGGCACGCGTGACCCAAGCAGGAGAGTAGCACGTTTGAGCAGTGAAAGGAGCAGAAGTAAACAAGAGCAAGCTGGTGAGCACAAAACCAAGCAGAAACTGAGGCTCATGGTGCACCCGTGCTTACAGACGGACTTGAGGCGAGAACCCCCAGGAAACCGGCAGTGACCGGAGGCAGACTGGGGCTTGAGGAGCGCTCCGAGGGGGGACGGGGAAGCAGGTGGAAAAACTACGGGCCTTTCTTAAGAGAGCCTTTAAAAACGCAGGAAAGCAGGCCTGGAGAAGCAGGTATTTAGAAAGCATGGTCACTGGTGGCTTCTTCAGAGATCTAGAAGGAAGGCAGGAGAGGTGGCGGAGCGAAGAAGAACAAGCCCAGTGCAGACACTGCTCCACCAGCCCCATGGGGAGCCGGGGTCCCATGCAGCGCTGGGAGGGAAGCGCTGCTGTCAGCAGGACGGAGCCCAGAGGCCGCTGCCTCTGAACTCAGATCCCGCACCCCGCAAGTGCGTGCCACCGTGTGAGACAGAACGTGAAGAAAGTCACTCACGTCAGCTACTTTGTGAGCAGGGCTGACAGTCCCTTACCACATTCAGAAGTATAAACACAAAGTTTAATCATAAACTTGAGTTAAAACATTTTATAAATCTCTAGAGACTTCATCCTGTTCAAACAAAACCCAAGCGTTCTTTTAAGTTACCTTTCACCTTATCCTTGTCAGGGGTCTACACAGCGACACTGATTTCCACTCATCCAATCCCAGGACAGCAGGTCACCACTCATGTTACAACTGCCCAGGTAAAGGCACAGAGTGCAGTTTAAACTCCGTGTGATCACCTCCTCTGGAAGCAGCCATCAAGAACCAACAGGAGCAGCTTCAGATGCCCACTGCCCTCAAGCAAGCTCCTACACCACGGTCTTCCGCAGGCTCCCAAGTTCACTTTATAAACAACACAGTCGTGTCCGTTCCTCTTATTACTGCTCTAAGAATTTGTTTACTTATAATTTAAGGTTCACACAGCAACTGAAATCTTCAAAGACTCTTCACAAAACTCCTGGGACCAACTTAAACCAGTGTCCATTTGATACCACCATTAAATGGGTTTGTTTACATGAAGCTAAATGAACTTTCATAATTATAAAACCACCTAGTTCAGAAGTTACTTCATAAGATGGTTGAGTAATGTTATAAGAGTAAGGCCAGTTCAGTTTTATTTTTTTGTTTTCTTGTATTCTTGCATTTTTGAAGTCTTTTTTACCTTGCACGTTTTTCTATTATACAGCCTAAATACGGATTTTTACAATTCCAGTAGCCACCGAATTTTAACGTTTAATTTCAGACAGTAAAGTCACAACAGTTAACCCTAAAAATGAAAAGTCTCATCTGTAAGTCATGCTGACACTAAACAACAAATAAAAAGTCATGATTATGGTGATGTGTTAACAGGAGCCACTCTGAGACCAGCACTCCGATCTCCCATCACAGGCTGCTGCGGATGTGGAGAATAGATGGCATTGAGCTTTTGGGCTTCCCAGGCGGCTTAGTGGTAAAGAACCTGCCTGCCAATGCAGGAGACATGGGTTTCATCCCTGCGTCAGGAAGATCCCCTGGAGAAAATGGAAACCCACTCCGATATTCCTGGCCATGGGAATTCCCGTGGACAGAGGAGCCTGGCGGACTACAGTTCATGGGGTCACAGAAGAATCAGACGTGACTCAGCACGTCATAAGCTTTCACAACCTTCAGCCTCCAAGCTAAATACAATAGTTAAAAACCTTCTCATCCAGCAATTCAATCTACTTCAGGGACATCAACTCATCAAACATGGAAACAACTTACTAAAGGACCCCCAGGCATTTATAGTGAAAACTAAAAATTACCTAATTACGTAATTTTTCAATATACAAATGGAGAGATGTTAAATGAAGGTTTTTAAAGGGTCATCAAGTTTAAGCTTTACAAAAAGTATACATCACAACTCTAACATCTGAAAAAACGTTCAGTGGGCTTGCAACTGGTGACAAGACAAAGGCTGGTTCCCGGCTCTGTCCTTTTATCTCATTTATGTTTTCCAAATTCTTATGTTCAGTCTGTATGGTTATTATCTTTGAGGTTAAAAGGAGTAAAAACTGCATTTAACTTGTAAGTAAATTTGAATCAGACATAACATAACCGAACATACTGCCAAGGATGTGTTTGATGTCAATCCACCAAGCGCCCAGAACCACCCCACCAGCCGAGGCGGAGGTGCTGCTGAGGGCGAGGGCACGGGGATGCGGCGGGGGCAGAGGCACAGGTCCTGTCCGGAGCAGGCCCCAGCTGCCCGGAGCTACAGCCTGCCGCTGCGTTCTGAGCCCGCTGTGCACGTGTTCACACCACTGCACACAGCTGTGTCTTCCTGCCTCTCTATACCCTGCCATAGCACAGCAGACACATCTCTGGGTCAGCATTTCAGCAGGGGCCCCTCCAGGAGAGGTCGGCACCCGGACCTCACCTCCTACTTGGGAGGTCAGCGTGTTCTCAATGACACGCACGTTCCTTATCAAGTTCGGCTCAGTTACGACCTTGCTATGGTTTGCTGGAGATGAATTATGGTTGAAGGAGATGGCACGTGTGGATGTCAAGAAGTGGACAAATTCTATGTCCACGTGAAGGAGCTGCCTCGAGGGTGTTCTCGAGGAACTTGTGGATCAGATGGAGAAGATTGGCCTCCCAGGGGATGGGCCCCTCCCATTGCACGTGGGCTGAACAGACCACAAGGCCGATGCTTCCCACAAACACAAGAGCCTTCTCCCATTCGACAGCCTCTGACCTGGAACACTGCTGGTTCTTCAGCCTGATGGCCTTCGGAGTCAAACTAGGACATCGGCCCGCAGATCTGGAAGGTGTGTGTTCTCATAATCAAACAAGTTCATGATTATGCTAAACTTCTGACAGAGAGAGAGGGGCACATGCTGCTGGGTCTGTCTCTCGGGAGAACCTAAACACAGGATTTACCAGTCTGTCATCCAACACCTCCCCAGTCACGGCACATGTGTGTTCAGCCAGGTCCTTTCCCGCAACAACGCTGCATCATGGGATACAGACACACGGAAACAGGCCCGTGTCCAGCCTGTTAAGTTAATGAAGACTTAACTCTTCCGGCTCCCTGTTCCAGGTGTCCTGGATAAACATTCCTCTGCAATCCTACACGGTCCTGCTCTTCTCAGAAATACCAAGCCAAGTCCACTAAGGTGATGCTTGCAAAATACCTAAGTAATGATGTCAAACTTACGACAAAAAATACATTAACTGAATGCTGTGAAAAAACAACAGAAAACATGTCACAAATGTTTACACGAGTACATACGTGTAAGAAGGCTTAAGGGAAGAACTAAGTGAAGGGTATTTAGAGCCATACATGCCCCCAGGAGCAGAGCTAAGGGCCTGACTGAGGCGCTCAGCAAACTGAGCCCGCAGTGTTTTCACGGAGCTCACCACCCAGTCCCCAGGCCACACACACACACACACACACACACACACACAACTGCACAACAAAGGAAAACACCACAAACTCTTAACAAGCATCCTGAACATTTCAAACAAAGAAAACAGGCCACTCTACTACAGTCTCAACACTAAGCCACAGCAACCCTGAGGAAAGAGCGACACATGAAACTCAAAACTCAAAAGCCAAGACAGCAGACAAGACTCCAATGCGATCACCCGTCATTAACCCCAACGCCACAAGCTAAAATCAAAACACTCCTTCACAACTCTAAGTTTATAACATTTTCTTCTCACATGTTCAGAAGCAGAAAACAACATATTTGAAAAGAATGTGAAATAAACAAACCTAAGTGACTCAGAAACAGCCGTGGGTGACACAGGCTGGAGCCCGGGGAGGAAGGCTTTGAGGCACCTCTCCAGGGCTGACCCAGCATCTGGGTGGTGCCTGGCACTGAACGGCAACCCTGGGATCAATACTTGCCAAAGGAGCATCACACTTTCAACTGTGCACACAGCTTCATTACAAAATGCCATTTCCAGTCACACCACAGGCCTAATTGGAACACTGTGTTTTCTAAGTTACAAAAATCTATCCAAGCCAAGGATGCCAAGCACACACAAGGGATCCAAACCCCCTACTTCAGTCGCGACGGAGGCTGGGGTCCCTGCAACTCTACCCCTTGCCAAGGAGCTGTGCGGGAGCCGCCCTTCCCCTGACCTGCGGCCAGGACAGCCCACCGCCCTCAGCCACAGGGACCACCGCGCCAGGAGGAAGGAGTCCAGCCTGGACTCCTGCGTGGACTCGGACAGCTCCGCCATGGGGGAGCTGGGAAGGCCATTAAAGTCTCAAAACCAACTCTGGATTCCCAGGGGGATCACACAAAGCCTGGGGCCCGGCCACTGCTCTCGTGACCCAGAAAACAACTCTGAGAGTGACCTTCTCAAGAAGCCTTTCCTCTCCCTGTTGAGGGCGGAGGTGGTAGGACCACAAGGCCCATCTGCCCAGCACCCACCCACACGGAACTGTCCTGAATCGCCAGCTCCACCCTTAACAGGAGGAGTTCCCAGCCACTGATGGGCCGGGCCAACCCAGCACCCCTCCCCCGAGGGGGACAGGGGCTGAGCAGGGCCTCCACTGGGGCTGAGCCACAGGGGCCCGCCCCCCGGGAGGGGCCACCACACCTGCCCTGCCTCCACAGCCACAGCCCAGCCTCACCAGTGCCTTCTTCCAAGCCACGCTGCCTCCAAGCTGAGCAGACGACTGTCTACACGCCACAGGATGCACGGGGCCCCCAACAGCGGCCCGCGACCCTGACCCTGGGGGGACGGAAGGGCCACTGCAGACAGGCAGGCGGCTCCGTCCCGTCACTCCTGTCCACGTAAGAGGGGACACGCGGACGTGCAGAGGAGACGCCGTGTGAAGACGAAGGCCGTCCGAGGCGGCCAGAGCAGCGGGCGAGTGCTGGGGAGGGGCCCAGGCACCCACTCAGATGGGCGGCCTCGGGTCTGCGGCTGCCGCGCACGGCGCTGCCCTTCCCAAGCCCCCAGTACCCTCCGGGGCCGCAGCGAGCCTTCAGGCGCGAGTCGTGCAAACTCTTTATTCTAGAGGCTCCGCTCAGGGGGCCGCCCACGGGGCAGCGGCGGGGCCTCGGGCTCGGGCCCACTGTCCTCACTCAGCAGCTCCTCACACTCCTCGATGAGCTCCTCTGGGTCCCCCGGGCTGGCCTCATCCTCACTGGAGATGAACTCCAAGTCCTCACTGGGGAGCTCGCCCCTGCCCAGGCTAGCGCCCTCGCTGGTATCGTCATCACTAAAGAGGTCGAGCTCCTCGCTGGACACCACGTCCAGCACCTCACTGTCCTCCTCGCTCATGCTCTCCGCCACCGCCTCCTCTTCAGTCTCCAACTCCTCGCTGGCCACCTCCTCGAACCCTGGGGGGAGAACGACCGGCTCACTACCCTCCAGCGCTGCGCCGGGCAGGCCTGCCTGGCTCGTCCCTTCCTCTCCCAGCACCGGCCAACGTGAACACGTTCCCGGGGAAGCTCCCAGCTTCAGAGCTGGGTCACAAAAATGCCTCCCACACCGTGGCTCCTGCTAGGACTCTAGGGCTCAGTGGCTCTCCCATCTGAGAACACCATCTCACTAACACCATCCTTCAATGACAAACCAAGGGAGGGATCACCGCAATTTAAAGTAACACGATCCCTACACTTGAGTGTTTCCAAAGCAAACTCCGAGGGCTGTGGGGAAGTCAGCTAACCTGGACAGCCCCGCCGGCCCCCCTTGTCTCAAAATTGGCTTCTCCCCCACTCCTGGGCCCACAGCCTCTGCCCACAGGGGGCATGCCTCACAACGAACGCGGTCCTCGGGCATAGGACTCAGTCCTTCCCACCAGCTTCTTCAAGGTCCCTCCCCTTTCATCTGGGCCGTCTGAAATCAGACACGGGGTTTTACCTTCTGATAAATGCAAACTGAAGCTGAGAATGTCTTTTAACAGACTTTGAGCTACTCTTTTTTTGGAAAACGGGAGAGGAAAAAAGTTGGTCGTGTGGAAAATTAAGACAAAAAAGAACACACTCCTCTAAATGTACCCTGTAACAGGGTTGAAGTGGCTGCCGAGAAACATCAACCCCAAGCCTGCTGAAGCAGAGCACCCTCAGCCCTACGGCCACTGAGCCCTGCACTGAACGTACCGCCTGCGGGCTGCACTGTCACTTCATACATGTAGTAGCCGTGGAGCAGCTTCTCTTCCCGCGTGTAAATCCTGAGAGCCTGAAAATGGAAGTCACCTAGAACACCTACAAGAATGGATTGGAGAAGTATCACTGCCACAGGGACCACGAGAAACGGGAAACTGCTAGCGTAGACCGAGCGCGACTCCGAGTCCCAGGCAGAGGCTGAGGGGCTAGTCCCCCAACGGACTCTGAATCCAGGAGAAGAAAACTCCACCCAGCGTCCTGCAAACCATTAACTCTTCTGACTCAAGTTCACATGCACATCAAGATTCCCTCGAGTGCACAAACCTCACCTCAGAAGACGTGAAGGTCAGTGCTCACAAGGGTAAAACCGCATTACTCCCTCTTCCACCCCCAATTACCCTCTCTACCTCTCTTCACTCCAGAAAGAGCTGCTCAAGGAAAACCATTCTTAGTGAGAAAGCTTAACCTGTCAGATTTTCTTCCCCAAGAAAAACACAGTCTGGCTACCATTACACACTGAGGACCCTGTCCTGACACTCTTTTTAAAGAAAACCACCCTGTGCCAGAGCTGGCGTGAGCGGGCCGGCCTCGGGCGTGGTGAGGCGGCCTGCCCTGCCATCCTCAGGCCTGAGGGACCCTCCATGCCCGGCTCAAGCAGGCAGACTCCTGGCCAGTTTCACCAGACACCACCCTGCTCCCCCAAAACACATCGGGAGCTTGCTAAAGGTTGTAATGAGACACAAAGGTAATTTTAAGGCAGAAAAGTCATTAAAACTCTTCTCTGTTTTTCTTATAGTAATATTTCCTACAATTATAAAGGACAATCAATAAAGAACATAATTACATTTCATATGATCCTTATAGGGAGCCTTCCCAATATGTATTTGTTTACTGTAGCAGTAACTAATGCAAAAAAGCCTTCAAAAAAGATGAGTCTCTCCCCACCCCAACACTGCCCTGCTTAGCTTTCGCTGTTATATTTTATACACTAGCATATACACACATCCCTCCTCCACAAGCCACTCTCCCAAAAAGCAAGCTGCACCACAGTGAACAGTCAGCACGGCCTCTCCGACCCCCCACATGGAGTGACGGAAGGACTGCATCCTGTGACGGGCCCACACGTACCGGACACGGCAGGGCCTGACTCCTCGCCACGCCTGCGGCGTGCAGGTCCACGGCTCCCCTGTGACCTGCAGACAGAACTGCTCTTCCTATTGCCCTCCAGGTATCTTTGTCTTTTCAACCAGGCCCCAGGCAGTGAAGGAGCAGACACAGAGCGCTGTCTCCCCATCCAGGGGCCAGAGACAACAGACGTCGCGGTGTGCACGGCGAGCGGCCCAGCTCCACACCACTGCCAACCCCAGAGCCTGCCACGCGTCCCTGCCACGCCGCCTCGCGTCGGGCGCCAGGACGCGGAGGCCGGCGGCTGGGAGCCCTCTCCTACAGCAACGAGCAGCCAGAGCAGCAAGGTCTCCCGGCAAAGCTATTCTCAAAGACGAATACCCATGGTGCCTTGCTCTAGAGGTGTCCTTTCTTTCCAAGAACTGCAAACTCAACAGTCCTAACACCACAATCAGAAAAACAAAGACAAGTTTATGGATCAAACGTCTTCCCAGCAACATCTCCCTTGACGCTTAGTGTTTTCTATCAGACTCCTACATGGGAAATTCAGAGAATTCCCTGTCCAACCAAGAGCAACCCACCTCCTTCCCACTGCAGAGGAAGCTGCTGAGTGAAACACACAGCCAGAGACACAACTCATTCAAACCTTTATTATGCTTGTGTGCAAGGTGTAAATTCCACATTCAAACCCTTATTATGTTAACGTGCAAGGCATAAAGTCCGAAACATCTTCCAAAGGAAGAAGGGAAAAAGATTTAGTTAAACTCATGTACTGCTCAGATAGCAAGTTTAAGGACAAGCTACAACAGTGGTGAAACGGAAAGCATATGTCCGTCTTCGTGAGTCATGAACATGTTACGTAAACGACGACCCAGATGATGAACTTACCGAAGAAGTCGAATGAAAATGGGTCCCTTCCACCAAAAAATTCCCTGAAGACGTCCTCTGGGTTTCGGAATGTGAAGCCAAACTCAAACGGACCGTCAAAGTGACTTCCACCTACAGAAGCAATCACAGCTCAGTCAGAGACTCCCACGCAGCAGGCACATAACCACTGTCTACAAAACATTACTACATGCCTCCTGACCCAAAGAAGGAGAAAGTTTCATAAACCCGAAGCTCGCTCAAGTCCTGCTGAAAGTAAGCCTCCTGAAACCGGGAGCTGGGAAGCGCATGCAGGTCAACATCCCCGAGCCACACGCGTGCCGAGGACTCCCACCAACTCTAGATGTGTCACCAACACACAGCATTTCAGGCTCAGAAACAGGTGCTCAGGCGTGTGTACAGGAGGTCTGAAGCGTGCGTGTCCCAACGCCCCCCGTGGAGCTCACAGGACAGCAGGTTACTGCGTAACTTTTCATCAAAAACACACTCATCTAAGCCTCACCACCAGCGGTAGTTACTTTGGTGGTTATTTAGTTTTTTGATAGAACATCCAGTAAGGATGTTTTTGACACAACATCCAGTATTGATCCCAGGGTACAAACTCACAGTGTTATAATAAGCATTTACATTATTTCCTATCTACAAAACGTACACCAGTATGTACTGTCTAGTACAACAAGATTTTTAATAGGCCTTTTCCAGGCTATCAATTTCTCCTTCCTCTCCCCAGTTCAGCCTACTCTCCAAACTGCATCCGTGTTTACTGACAGACTGAGTCCCCATGAGACTGTGTCATCAGACCACCTCCTTTCATCACAAGGCAGGAAAAGACCAGTGTCGACCACGTACCTCCACCGCCACCGTTTAATCCTTCTTTGCCGTATCTGTCATAGATGTCCCGTTTTTTAGCTATAAATTTAAAAAGACAAGTCAGTAACAACCAAGTTCTCTTCCCTCAAATTCAATAAAACGTTCCTGAAGCTGTAAACCAAAGACCCACCACAGCTCTCAATGACCACACTTCCTTTTGAAGAGCTAGGACTCCCTTACTGTAAATGAAAATAGGAAGCAGGGACACTTAAGACCATCAAAGTCTGGTGGGCTGCAGTCCCCGGGGTCGCAGAGTCAGCTGCAACTTAGGGACTGACCAACAACAACTCCCTTAAAAACACCTCAGAATATTTTTAAGTTAAATTTAAAAGACTTATTTAAAAAAAAAAAAAAACTTAATTTCACTCTACTGCTCAACGTGTGCCCATGCACTCCATCAAAACCCCACTACAAAGATGCAAAGCGACTCCACCCCTATACACAGACCTCACTACAAAGTCCAACTTGGGGAGAAGACCCATGGCACGACCAGGAATGGGACAGAGCCTTGGTGAGGGCAGAAAGGAGCCACACTGGGAGCCGGCCCGCAGCCTGGCTTGACCCTGGGTGAGGCAGCAGCCCGCCCAAGCCTGGACGACGGCCGTCTCACCACTCAGGCTCTAGAATAGGAGCAGTCACAGTGCAGTCCTGCTCAGACACACAGCTTCTGCAGACACACCTGTGTGTGGCAAGTAACGGGGTAATGGGGAAACGAGTGTGGTCATCAGAGCCATAAGAACAGTGCCTGTGGGTCTGTGCGGTGACTCCTGGAACTGAAGGCTTCTTCCTAAGGACGCATGAAGAATATACTCCCCCTTACAAAAACACACAAAAAGCAGCATTTTCATGGGACTTTAAAGGTTCTGCTGCTGCCAAAAATCACGTTTGACGTTTGAATTTACTTCTCAAATTTTCTAATGTTCTTGGTCTGTGAATCCACAAATCTGGGAGTGCTGGATCAGGCACACAAACAGTACAATGACAGTCAACGACAAAAGCTACTCATGAAGTAAGATGACTAAGCCTTCTTTTAAAATAAAGCAGGTGTCCACTTCCTCTGGTCAGTGAATCCACCTCTAGCCTTTTAAATGCCTTGGCCTTGATTCACACCAGGTCATTCAGAACTGCTTCTTGCCAAGGTGGTGTCAGTACTTTTCCAGTTTTCTTACAAAGTTCCACAATCCGCTCCCTGCCCCAAGGCTGTTCTTACTGAGAACCCAAGGTCTGGCTAACACTCTCTGTACGACCCCTAAAACTAAACCAACAGACCTGAGCTTCCAGTGCCCTTCAATTCCTAACTCCAACGGGGCAGGGAAACCTATAAGCTGTGGAGTCCAAACCTCAGCTGTGTGTGCAACACCTGACTTCCCAAAATCAGGAGGGCCTTCCAAGGAGGAGGTCAGCACCTCAGCACCGGGTGCTCAGGAGGGGACGGGGGCGAGAGGCCACGACACCCCAACCCAGGCGGCCTCCAGCGCCAGGCAGCGTCCGGGTCTGCCCGTCCTCTCAAAGAACCACCCAGGAGACTCCTAGAGGCCAGGGCACCCGCAGCACGCACAGGGCCTTATCGGGAGGCTGGAAGGAACAGGACGCCCAGTCTGCCCAGAAAACCCCACTCAGGGCCCCAAGCCCCCTCGGCCACGTCTCCCTCTGCAGGCCCCGCCCGGGGGGTGCAGCCCCCACACTCCCCACTCACCATCTGACAACACCTCATACGCCTCAGCCACTTGCTTGAATTTTCTCTCCGCTTCTTCTTTGTTCTCAGGATTTTTATCTGGATGCCACTTCAGTGCCAGTTTCCGATATCTTAAAAAGGAGTTAAGGGTACTGATCACATCCAACATCCAGGGTGGTGTCTGATATGTCACATGAAGCAAACATTTTCAAAGCAAAAGCTGTAATCGGAGACCAGACGTGGCACACACCCTGCCAGTCCCCAGGGGCAGCGGCAGTGACGCCCCCCACAGGCCCGCCCCTCTGGGCGGTGATCTCCATGCCACTCACACCTTATTTAAGAAGAGCACTGCACCACGGCGTTCCTGGGTGTGACCATGCACACAGCTGAAACACCATCCATTTTCTGCTATACGTTAATACCAAGGGAATCAAACAGGTCCCAGTTTACCCTGAGAGCTGCCTGTGACCTGAGACTTGCCTCAGGTGCGTCCCTGGGGCCAGGCCCTGGTCACAAAGCTGCAGCAAGGACACAGGGGTGCAGGGCTCAAACGCCACACGGACCGGAAGCGGTCACACGGCAGGGGCTGGAAGCAAGCCCACGAGGATGTCACGGCGGCGCCCCATGAGCGCCAAGGCGGTTTCTAAGTCCAACATCGAAGTTGTTTGGGCTGATCTCATACCCTCAGTGCGTTTCTGATCTAATTTCAGCAGAAATGGAGTCCATGTCCCAAGATACAGTACCAGAGGAAACCAAGTGGCCTTCTCCCCTAATGACAGGTGGGCCTAGGTCTAAAGAGGCACAAGCTAACTTGTTAACTGCTATCTAACATTCAAACTAGACCGCAGCAGAAACTCTCAGCATGCAAACTACCATTTGGTTTCCACAGGCCGTGAAAAGTCACACCACAGGTGCACAGAGGCGCTCTTTCAGAACATGATTACTTACGCCTTTTTAATATCCTCGGCCGAGGCGTGTCTCTGCACGCCTAGAACTTCATAGTAATCCACCATGTTTTAACAGGCTGCTGGAACAAGTCCTGCAATCAGAAATCCACGGTCAGTGACGAAGACGGTCCAGGCTGGGCTGGTAGTGGGGGTACGGGGTTGGGGGACGGAGCAGGAGGTGGAAGATGTCACCTCGCCTGGGCACTAACCACCAGCCTGTCGGGCCAGAGTCTCATCTGGGAGCCGCTTCCAAGTCTCACACCCTAAGACCCTTCCTGATGTAGGAAAAAACACTTTGAAATAGGCTAAGAATAGCCTCAACTAAATAAAACCAACAGGTGACTCTGCAGCAGCCTTGGGGCCCGCTGCCCACCAGCTGCCAAGCCCCTGGTCCAGACCGACTGGAGCGTCGTCCTCTTCTCACGCCCTATGCCAGGCGCTGGGCAAGACTGCAGCCACCTGACCAACACCCTGTCCCCAGCCTGGGGACGCCACAGGGAACCGTAGACACCCTCCATGGCAAGCTGCCCCGCCTGACTTGGGGCTCTTACTCGGGGCTGCTCCTGTGACTGCCTCCCGGGCCTCCAGCATCACCCTGCCGGCAGTGCAGGGAGACGGCAGCCTCGGAGCGGGCCTGCACGGACTCACGGGTCAGGAACCCCCGCATTCACCTCCTCTACGAGGATGGGGCCTCGAGTCACACGCCAATCACAACTGACACACCTGCCGCCTCTCAAGATGTGAAGTCCAGCAAAGTTCGTCGTTAATCTGACTGGCTAAGTTACCTCATTAAACCAATGACCGACAACTGACATGAAACAGACTTACATACAAGCATACAAAATTATTTCAGCCAATACATCAAGGTTTTCTGTCTGGCAACTGAGCCCTGAACTGAAGCCAGGCTTTCAGTAGCCTTCCCCCAAATTCTAAGACCACGCTTTGAAAAGAAACATTCTGACTGTAAACAAATTTACGAGACCATAACCTCCCTGAGACCACTCTGCTGAGGTTGGATATAAATATGGCCCCAACTGGAACACACTGTGTCTCTCAACACCAGGCGCACAGCTGTATTGTGTTTCCACTTTTCCAAACTGGGGAGCAACTCATGGTAAAAAAACAAGTCTGCTGCATCGTGACTCAGCACGCAGGTATGCACACCCAGCGGCACAGCCCTCCTTGACTTTACAGAAGGCTGGCTGCATCTATCTGAGCGTGAGAAAGACACAGGGGAAAGCCCTCCTTACCAGTCCAACAACTTCATGCAGAACATAATAGATATCAAAGCAGAATCAAAACTAGAAACCCCTCTGACCAACTCAAACTCCCTAGAAGTGTTAGGTAAAAACCCAACACACACACTGAAGAGCCAGCTGAGCACCCAGGAAAGCAGGACCTCAAGTGCCAGAACCAGAGCTTAATTACACCAAGAATGGTGATCCCGAGACTGGGGGGCGGTTTTGTTGTTGCTGTGTTTTCAAGATGGGACTTGTTTTGCTGGACAGGAAACTAATAGCTGCGATGAGGATCCACAGAATACAGGTTCCTCTAAAGGTTTTAACATTTCTTGGCACACCACCTTCAGGACTGGAATGAAAACTGACCTTTTCCAGTCCTGTGGCCACTGCTGAATTTTCCAAATTTGCTGTCATATTGAGTGCAGCACCTTCCCAGCATCATCTTTTAGGGCTTGAAATAGCTCAACTGGAATTCCACCACCTCCACTAGCTTTGTTCATAGTGATGCGTCCTAAGGCCCGCTTGACTTCACATTCCAGGATGTCTGGCTCTAGGTGAGTGATCACACCATCATGACTGACTGGGTCGTAAAGATCTTTTTTATATAGTTCTGTTTATTCTTGCCACCTCTTCTTAGTATCTTCTGCTTCTGTTAGGTCCATACCATTTCTGTCCTTTATTGAGCCCATCTTTGCATGGAATGTTCCCTTGGTTTCTCTAATTTTCTTGAAGAGATCTCTAGTCTTCCCCATTCTACTGTTTCTCCTCTATTTCTCTTGCATTGATCGCTGAGGAAGGCTTTCTTATCTCTCCTTGTTATTCTTTGGAACTCTGCATTCAAATGGGAATATCTTTCCTTTTCTCCTTTGCCTTTAGCTCCTCTTCTTTTCGCAGCTATTTGTTTTTTAAGGCCACCTCAGACAGCTATTTTGCCTTTTTTGCATTTCTTTTTCTTGGGGGTGGTCTTACTCACTGCCTCCTGTACAATGTCACGAACCTCTGTCCAACCTCTTCAGGCACGCTATCAGATCTAATACCATGAATTTATTTGTCACTTTCACTGTATAATCATAAGGGATTTGCTTTAGGTCATACCTGAATGGTCTACTGGTTTTCCCTACTTTCTTCAATTAAAGTCTGAATTTGGCAATAAGGAATCCATGATCTGAGCCACAGTCAGCTCCCGGTCTTGTTTTTGCTGACTGTATAGAGCGTCTCCATGCTGTGGCTGCAAAGAATATGATCAATCTGATTTTGGTATTGACCATCTGGTGACGTCCATGTGTAGAGTCTTCTCTTGTGCTGTTGGAAGAGGGTGTTTGCTATGACCAGTGTGTTCTCTTGGCAAAACTGTTAGCCTTTGCCCTGCTTCATTCTGTACTCCAAGGCCAAATTTGCCTGTTATTCCACATATCTCTTAACATCCTACTTTTGCATTCCAGTCCCTATGATGAAAAGGACATCTTTTTTGGGTGTTAGTTCTAGCACTCATCTCACATGCTAGCAAAGTAATGCTCAAAATTCTCCAAGCCGGGCTTCAACAGTATGTGAACCATGAACTTCCAGATATTCAAGCTGGTTTTAGAAAAGGCAGAGGAACCAGAGCTCAAACTGCCAACATCAGCTGGATCATTGAAGAAGCAAGAGAAATCAAGAAAAGCATCTCCTTTTGCTTCACTGACTACGCCAAAACCTTTGACTGTGTGGATCACAACAAACTGTGGAAAATTCTTTAAGAGATGGGAATACCAGACCACCTGACCTGCCTCCTGAGAAATCTATATGCCAGTCAAAAAGCAACAGTTAAAACTGGACATGGAACAACAGACTGGTTCCAAATTGGGAAAGGAGTTATGTTAAGACTGTATATTGTCACCCTGTTTATTTAACTTCTATGCAGAGTACATCATGTGAAACGCTGGGCTGGAGGAAACACAAGCTGGAATCAAGATAGCCAGGAGAATTATCAATAACCTCAGATATGCAGATAACACCAGCCTTATGGCAGAAAGCGAAGAACTAAAGAGCCTCTTGATAAAAGTCAAAGAGAAGAGTGAAAAACCTGGCTCAAACTCAACATTCAGAAAACTAATAAGATCATGGCATCCGGTCCCATCACTTCATGGCAAATAGATGGGGAAACAGTGGAAACAGTGACACACTTTATCTTTTTAGGCTCCAAAATCACTGCAGATGGTTGACTGCAGCCATGAAATTAAAAGAAATTAAAAAAACTCCTTGGAAGAAGTTATGACTGACCTAGACAGCATATTAAAAAGCAGAAACGTTTACTTTGCCAACAAATGTCCCAATAGTCAAAGCTATGGTTTTTCCAGTAGTCATGTATGGATGTGAGAGCTGGACTATACAGAAAGCTGAGCACCCAAGAATTGATGCTTTTGAACTGTGGTGTTGGAGAAGACTCTTGAGAGTCCCTTGGACTGCAAGGAGATCCAACCAGTCCATCCTAAAGGAGGTCAGTCCTGAACAGTCAATGGAAGGACTGATGCTGAAGCTGAAGCGCCAATACTTTGGCCACCTGATGCAAAGAACTGACTCCAAGACCCTGATGCTGGGAAAGATTGAAGGTGGGAGAAGGGGCTGACAGAGGATGAGATGGCTGGATGGCAGCACCGATTCCATGGACATGAGTTTGAGTAGGCTCTGGGAGTTGGTGATGGACAAGGAAGCCTGGTGTGCTGCAGTTCATGGGGTTGCAAAGAGTTGGACACGACTAAGCGAGAGAATTGAAAGGCTGTAACTGCAGGAAAGGGGGACGAGAAAAACTCCCCAGCAAACTGGGAAACGGCACCACTGAGAATCGAAGCATTAAGCCTCAGAACCGCGGAGGCAATCCCACTGCCTCCACTAACCCACAATGCTCCCAGCACCCCAAAGCCACCAAATACAATCCCAGGATGGGGAGACAAGAGAAAGCTGTGTTGGAGAAGTTTGTTGCTTAGTTGATCAGTCGTGTCTGACTCTTTGCAACTCCATGGACTGTAGCCCACCAGGCTCCTCTGTCCCTGGGATTCTCCAAGCAAGAACACTGGAGTGGGTTGCCATTACCTCCTCCAGGGGATCTTCTGACCCCAGGATCAAACCTCCATCTCCTGCACTGCTGGCGCTTCTTTACCGCTGATCCCCAGGAGAGCAGTTAACTCTACCACCAGGTTGTACACATCTGAGGGTGTGGGGAGTTTTCAGTGAGCTATGGAGATCTAATGCCCACACGGTCACCGCTGCCAACAAGACTGTGTCATTCATTCAGTCGCTAAGAAACCAGATCTTAAATGTTATCCCTCCAAGGAATGGTCATTTCATAATGAAAGGGGTGTAGGCTAACTCAGGTGGCAATCACAGCAATATAGAAACGATTCAAATAAGCAAGTCTCCAGTCAATTGTACCTCATTTTTTAAAATAAAATGTAACTTTATTGATGAGAGAAAGGTGCACACAGGAAACTCTGTGAAAAAGCACAAAGCAGGACTTTAATATTTCTTATTTTAACAAAACATGTTTAGTGAGAATAATTCTAAGTGTTCTGTAAACAGTACCTCATTTAATTCCAACAGTAACAAAATTAAGATCAGTGACTTCCTAACGGTGCCTTAGGCGGTTTCTCCAGCTTTATGCAGACGCAACCGACATTCAACTGGTCTAAGTTTAAGCTGTGCACTGTGCACCTTATTTTCATTACAACTGCATTTTTAAAAAACTACAAGTGACCTTTGAATAAGGTGGGTTTGGCCGCACAGGTCTACTTGCATGCATATTTTTCTCAATATTTCTCAATACTGGTAAAAAATTTTTTGGAGACTTACAACTTAAAAAAGCTCACAGAAGAACCATGTAGCCTAGAAATACTGAAAAAAATTTTTAAAAGTGTGTCAAGAATGCAAAGGCATAAGGGAGCAACACTTTAGTTTTCTGTTCTGTAACTTTGCTTTCAAAGGATTACATATTCACACAGTACGTCTCTCCCCCCAGTATCAGTTCATCATCATAGGTAGGTGGGTTTTTTTTTTAATGTGTTTCTAATACCGTATTATGAATGAGTACAATACTGTATGTCACAATGGATTCACTAGCGTATAGGCTAGGCAACCATAAAGAAACCATACTGCTCCCACTTCATTATAATGGATGCATTATACTTAAAAACCACCATGAATTTCTTCTTTATGCCATCTTTTCATTTTTCTTGGCCCATGTTACTAACACATCTACAGGATTTGGTATCATGTAAGATAATATTGACGTAGATACTGACAGACAATCCATCTTGTAAAAATATAAACTTAGGGTATCAATAAATAAATGCAGTTAATACAATTTCTCTTAAAGAAATTTTTTAAATATTTTCTCTAGCTTACTTTAAGACTACAGCAACATAACACACAAAGCATGTGCTAATCAATGTTGCATTACTGGCAAGGCTCCAGTCAGCAGCAGGCTACTAGGTACGTTTTGGGGGAGTCGAGAGTCATGCGCAGCTTTTCAACTGCAGGGGGTCTGCACCTCT